TGAGTGGACCCCGTTCCAGACCCACTACTTCTCAGAAAATCTTATAGCGCCGGGAATCTAACCCGGGACGTCTGGATCTGTAGCCAGGAACCCTGACCACTAGACCACAGAGGCGGCCTCTCTCCCATGCCTGCTACATTTAAAGTCAGTTTTGTTATCCTTGTTCTCATCGCCCTAATTATATTCATTTCCTTCACGCCTCTGTGTTTATTGTGATATGAAATCGATTATGTGGTATACACATTTGTTATTTCCGTCTGAATGCTGTAATTCCCTACATATGGTAGATATTACGTTCGTTGTACGCAGGTTATGGTTTGACTTTATAACGGAGATTTTTGCATGTTTCGTTTGTCTTCATTGTCAGTAAGCACGCGATTTCGCAAGTTCAGTGTTCGAGTCCAGGAGACATGATAGGAATTAATGCAAGTTTCGCCGTAGCCGGTATAGCTGACCCGGTATAGGAACTAGGCTACGGTCATAACCAAGAAGTCGGAGTTCTATTCCCGGTAGGGTCAAGAGATTTCTGTCTTTACAACGTCCAGACCGGTGCTGGAACTCATACAGCTTCCTGTCCACTGGGTACAGGGGATCGTTCTCACTGCCAGGACGCTAAACTGATTACCTCCACCCAGTGTCGATGTTAGGGCGGCCACATACCAACTGCGTCAAGACAAGCATCAAGACATGAGACAAAAGACCCAGTCTTGCTTGATTTATGATTCGTCAGCATCATGACTCAGACCGGTGTGCGGCGGTTTTCATAATCTCAGTCGTTTCATCTGTGCTCCTTTCTTCGTGTAATGTCGCAGATATCGTGTCTTGACGCATGTCGGTGTGCGGCCTACCTTAGGAGTGTGTGGATTTTCTTGTAATTTTACAGGCACTTCAGTGTCTAAGTTATATGATATCGAATGCTGTAATGTATCCGCGATGAATTGGAAAGGATTTGGGAGGGGGTGGTCACGAGCTAGTCTAGGTACTATGTCGACATTTGCGTCCAGAAGCCGTTAAAGACAACTAAAAACCTGAGTTAGCATAGCCGGTATCCCAGCCGAGATTCGAACTGGATATCTCTCGAATACAAGTCTAGAACATTATCCCTACGTCATCTTAGTAAGAATGATTGGAGATGTATCTCCACTCCCCCCATACCTCTTTATGGCACAGTGGTTAATCATAGATAAATTTCATCTTTTTAAAATTACTGCAGTTTTTTTTAAATATGGTGGATATTCGTTTATTGTGAATAGTCCTTAATTATGACTTTATATTTGAGCTGTTTTCTTTCCAGCCCATAAGCACGGAATATCTCAAATAGAAAGTGCATTGCGTAGTTTGAATATTGGCGTTCAGATGGCACGCTAGGTAGTTAATGAATTTTGTACAAAAGGCTGTAGGTCTTTTTGACACATTTCCTGAGGTGACTCTGTGGTTGTCCTAAAAGGAAATTCCATCCAATTTCTGGAACAAGGTTATATTTCCAGAAACCGCAAAATAAAAAAAAAGTACGGTTACTTGTATTGGGTGGTACTGCAGTAAAAGAGACGAAATACAATTAAAACTTTAGCTTTTCCTAGATGGTGAGCCTCCATAGTGGCCTGGAACCTCAAGGGAGCAGAATGATGCTTTTGTTGGGCGGCGGAAGNGGGGGAGCTGTAAGGGTCTTTGGCACCTGTTTGCTTTCCTCCGACAGTCGTGTGTATAAAGCTATCCAGCAGTATTATTTCAATCGCGACAATAACAACTTGCAGAGCATTTCAAATTATTAAACAACTGCATAATGAGAAGCTTCGTTAGCTTCTACTCTTCTCCAAGTATAATTAGAAAGATCGTTTGAAGGAGGATGAGATAGGCAAGGCATGTAGTACGCTTGAGGTAGAAGAGGAATGCATATAGGATTTTGGTCGGAAAAACAGAAGAAAAGAGACCACTAGAAAGATCTAGACGTACTTGGAAGGATAATATTAAAATTGATCTTAGAGATATAGGAGGCCACCTCTGTGGTCCAGTGGTCAGAGTTCCCGCCTACAGATCCAGAAATCCGGGCTCGATTCCCGGAGCTACCAGATTTTCAAAGAAATAATGGGTCTGGAACGGGGTCCACTCAGCCTCGTGAGGATAACTGAGGAGCTCTTTCAAGGAAATAGCGGCTCCGGGCTAGAAAACCGAAATTAACTGCCGTGGTGATTCGTTGCGCTGACTACGCGACAGTAACTTCGCAGACAAGCGGCGGTCGCTCGACCGGTATTGAGTAGCCGAGCGACTGGCGACTTCTCAAGAAGGGCTCAGCCCCATTGAGTTACTTAGTTAAATGAGAGAGTGAGAAACCAGCAGACAGTTTCATGTGCCGCAGTTGGAAGGAATAAGGAAGTGAAAATAGATGTACAGGGTTTGTCAGCAGAATGATGGTGTCATCCAGCAGTACTTGTTCTGCAACATTGCCCTGCATATGGGACAGCAGTTGCTGTTTTATGTGGAATATTCTTACCCTAATGACGTAATTTACTCTTTGAATCAGGGTCTTTAGTGGTAAATGAATAGTCGATAAGCTTTTCACGAAATTCCCGCATATCGAACCCGAAGATTCATTACAGTTTTCACCAGAGTTTGCTCTTTAATCATATCACTCATTCACTCACTCATGGAGCTGAGCTCTTCTTGAGGAACCGCCAATTCTGCAGCTACTCAAGAACTTCCCAGCATTTTATGGAACCCCAAGTTTCATTACTGTGTTTACACGAGCCCTCCACCGGTCCCTATCCTAAGCCAGATGAATCCAGTCCACACCAACCCATCTTATCTCTCAAAGATCCATTTTAATATTGTCCACGCACCTACGTCTTGGTCTTCCCAGTGGTCTCCTTCCTTCCGGCTTTCCCACCAATGTCCTATATGCATTCTTCGTTTCCCCATTCGTGCTACATTCCCCGTCAATTTTATCCTCCTTGACTTGATCATTCTAATTATACTTGGAGAAAAGTACAAGTTATGAAGCTCCTCATTATGCAGTTTTCTCCAACCTCCTGTCACTTCATCTCTCTTCGGTTGTTTAATCATGTGCTGAGACAAATTAATCCAGACCACGTTCTCGCAGTTTGTTTATTATGGATTCATTAGAATATTACCCTCCAATCAAGTCAGAGATCTGCTGGATGTTCTCTTCTCATCATATTTTATGGCTACAATTTTGAACATCTCTCTCGTATCTCCCTTGCGTGTTTCATACCCCGCCTGTCTTCTTTGATCTAATTATCTTTGTAGTGTTTGGTGAAGAGTACAAATTATAAAGCTTATTAAATTTTGTTTCCACGTTTTTGTTCCTCTTATGTATCCATTATCAGTAATATGTATTTACTTTTATTTAGTTTTCTTTTTCTTTCTCTCCTACTTGCTTTATAATTGACCTTTGGGCTTGTGAGTGAACACCTAAAGAATTAATTTAATTGTATCTTCAACTTTTCCGATGGGCTGCTTGTGAGAAATGTTATAAGGTTAACTTCGAAATTGAACTTCGTTTAAAGTATGAATTGCACGTAATTGACCGATATGGACCTAAATTAAATTTGTATGACAACTTTTAGTCTCTGTTCACAAAACGTTAAGTTTAGTTGAGTAACCTTAAATCTATTCAGTCTGATCCGTCACCGTAGTAAAGTAAATTCTAGAATAATAATTCTTAACATCGTCCAGTATGATTCAGTTTGTAGATATTTATTGCCTTTACATGTTTCGGTCAGCTGACCATCTTCAGAAGGCATAAGATCAACATGTTCAGGATACATACCTAGATGTATAGCTCCTCCATTCTTGCCCTCGGCACAGGATGAAGTTGAGTGGTCAGTTTCACGCCCCGGCCGCTTTACCGCCAGGGAAACACACTCCTGTACCCATTGGGTAGGAGGCTGGGTGGGCCGCAGAGCCGGTCTCAACTCTGGGTAGAAGACAGAAATTTCTTGCCCTGCTGAGAATCGAATCCCAAATCTTCGGCCGTCCAATCCGTAACCCGTCACTATACCGACTCAACTATCTCGGCTTCTATCAGTCAATATGTCTTCATGGAAATACGTTATAGAGTCATTAAGTTCGTGAAATGTGGTTTTATCGCATCATATTACAAGATATTCACATACACTTACCCAGATCGACATCGGCCCTCAAAATAGTTGCCGTTGGCCGCTATGCAAGTCTGCCAACGTTGATATAGCTGCCGAAAACATTGCTGAAATATATTGGCAGGAAATTCCCGTACGGCGTCTCTTGTGGCAATGACGACCTCCTCGGGCGACTGAAATCTACGAGCACGCAGCTTTGCTTTCAAGCGTGAAAGAGAAAGAAATCGCATGGTGCGAGATCAGGTGAGTACGGAGGGTGTGGCAAAACGGTGACCTGTTGCCTTACCAGTTCCTCTTGGACAAGAACAGAGCGATGTGCAGGGGCGTTGTCGTGTAGCAACAGCCAATTCTTCCTACGCCAAACGTTTCGCTAGGGGATTTGCCTAGTTTTTGGCAGAACTTGATGTTTCCGCGTCGTTCAAACTGCCACATTTTCGATTTCCGCCACTCGCATTTAACTGCAGTTCACAGTAGAGGTCGTAGATCTACTTACACTCTTTGCACTGCCTCTTCCTGTGACGAGAGATGAACCGACAGGGCATCATATCGTGCCTCAACCTATCCGCTGTAATGCACTGCAACGACGCTTTGTGGCCATTCCACGAACGTATTGACTGTTGTAGTATATCACTTATATATCGATATATAAAGTGTCTTCTCATGGAAGACACTAAAAGAGAGCGTTTCCCCTGGGAATTATGCAAATGAATTCACATCTAGCGCTTTGGAGACACCTGTTCCTGGGGGACTTGATAACACACGTAAGCTCTGACGTTTTAATAGTGCAAGCTCGCGGCGTCCTGTTTAGTTTAAATTTCTATAAACGGACCTGCTTGGGAATTGCATGTCATTTAAGTTTTTCGTCTGGGTAATTTTATGTTTCAGGTGGGAACTCCAGACAGTGTGGCGGAGAGCATGCTGTCATCTATCGTGGACCCTAGGGACTACGACCGACTTCGATTTATGCAAATGAACGGAGGCACGGGAAACAGTTTTGAGGAAACCATCCACAGGGTGAGTAACGGTTTCGTATAGCGTCCTATTTGTACAGTACGAGGAAATGTGCTTAGAAATTGATGTAGTTGCTTTCGTTCCTTATGCGAAATTTTGTCTCCCACTGGGGGTAGAGTATCACTCACTCACTCATGGAGCTGAGCCCTTCGTGAGAAACTGCCAATTTTACAGTTGCTCAAGAACTTCCAAGCATTTTATGGAACCCGAAGGTTTATTACCGTGTTCACAAGAGCCATATACTGGTCCCTATCCTGAGCCAGACCAATCCAATCCATCCCATCCTATCTCTCTGAGTTCCATTTTAATATTGTCCACCCCCTACATCTTGGTCTTCCCAGTGGTCTCTTTCCTTCTGGTGTTCCCACCAATATCCTATATGCATTCTTCTTCTCCCCCGTTCGTTCTATATGCCCTGCCCATTTCACCCTCCTTGACTTGATCATTCTAATTATACCTGATGAACAGTACAAGTTATGAAGCTCCTCGGGGGTAGATTATTGTTGAAGATATTTTAACCGATTGAAAATGAACTAACAGAAAGCAAGGGAATGTTATAATGAGGACCGTCATGGTTCCTGCGTTTCTCCAGACAAGTATCACGGTGATAAAGTGAAGCATAATGAGCTGGGCTCTTACAAAACTCGCGTACAAGAGATGAGACATACTTACTTACTTACTCATGGAGCTGAGCCCTTCTGGAGGAGCTGCCAATTCTGCAGCTACTCAAGAATTTCCCAGCATTTTATGAATCCCGAACTTTCAGTACCATGTTCAGAAGAGCCCTCCAGTGGTCCCTCTCCTGAGCCAGATATATCCAATCCATACCATCCTATCCTAGCTCTCTAAGAGCCATTCTAATATTGTCCACCCACCTACCCCTTGGTCTTCCCTGTGGTCTCTTTCCTTCTGGCTTTCCCACCAATATCCTGTACGCATTCCTCGTCTCCCCCATTCGTGCAGAGATGAGCCATACTGGGAATAAATTACTAGAGGAACGTGGACATGAAAATATAACATTAAATTCGATCTTTAACATATAGGGTTATAGGACTGGATTCAACTGGCTTATTACAGGATTCAGTGCCCGGCTCTTTTGAACACTCTAATGAACGTTTGAATTATGTACTTGACTAGATTAGCAACTGCCGGTTTCTCAAGAACTCTGCACCGTGGAGTTCCGTTACTTATTTAAAATTGTTCCTGCGCTCAATTAAATATGATGTGGAGACTTTGTGTCGTGGGGGAGTGAAGTTATAGCTCCACGCATTCCTAACCTTAACACGCTTCGGCCACTTTACCCTCAACGGAAGAGCGTCCCGTACTCATTGACTGGGAGACTGGTTGAGTCCCAGGAACCGGTCTGGACACTGAAGTGAAAATCTTTTGTACTTAACTCGAATCAAATAGCTCATATCCTGGTTGCTGACTGAGTCATCGTGGCTCGGACTTAGCTGGTTGTGCATGTTCTCTTAAGCTTTCGTGCAGGACAACAAAACTGGCATCGCATCTAGTCTTCTCACCAGCAGTGCCATCAGTGTTCCGCAGTAAAAGTAAAGCTATCCCTGTAACAGGCCGTGGAGGCCCCTAGGTTGTGAGACGTCGAGGCTCCCACATTTTCTCTATACAATCGGCTCACAGATGGCGGTGACGTTGCCAGCCTTCCGCCCCGCCAGGCCTTTACCCCCCAGGAATATTCCTAGTACTCATTTCAATTAGAGGCTGAGTCGACCCCAGGGCCATAGTGCGGCAGGAAGGATTAGGTAAATCGAAAAAAAAAATCGACATCGGGATTGGATCCCGCGACCTTCCGGCTTGTAGCATAGTGCCACAACCAACTACGCTACCGCGTGCCCCCTGCAATAATAAACGTATTGAGTTTAATCAAACGGATAATCGAAGAGTGCATTAGTGTTAGATTTCCCGTTAGCGAGCAATAGTAACCTAACGTTTCCTTTCACATCCCAGTGGCTTATACCGGTCTGATCCAGTGAGCAGGGTAACGCAATTACAAATTCGCCCTCGGAATCTCTTTAGTTCAGCAATGATTTAGGGATGTTTGTATATGAGTGAAGCTGACTGCATATGTGCATAAATATTCAGCTTATTGGCTTATTTCGGATAGCGTTGTCAATTTAGTATTCTCTTTTTCGCCAGCTGTGTATTCCCCTTTAAAGCAATCCCTTGACAAAAGCCCCTGTCGAGGGATGTTGTGGAGGGTGGTGTGGGAAAGTGGATGATGCTCTACAATAGAAAAGGGAAATTCCGTTGTTAATCCTGCTTTACGTCGTTCTGAAAATTCCAACGGCATTCGATTTCACACATACATTCACCCCTCACTCTGTGATCAGTTCGGAGCACACTGACATAAGCACGACAAGCATGCGTGACGTAACTGTGACGTACCAATATACCCATAAACTGTAGCTGTAAAATTATATTAATTTTATACGTAACAATTTATCTTATATTTATGTATACTTGTTTCTTTCGGTTGGTGGAAAGGGAGAGTTATATCAGATATCTTTGCCCTTACGCTTGTATTAATCATGAAATGACAAACCGTCCAGTGTAAACAAGTTTTATATAAATAATCCAATTATTTACATGGCCTTACATGTTTCGATCACAAGAAAAAAAAAAGATATTAAATATCTGCAACTTGAATATATTCTGTCGTTATGACATTCGGGTAATGCTTGCTACCATTCAGCCCAGAACCGTTTGTTTTTTCGTCTGCTGTCAAAAAGTATAAAAATTAGCATATACAAAACTATGATTTTGCCGGTGGCTCTGTATAGGTGCGAAACTTGGTCTCTGACATTAACGGAGGAACATAGACTGAGGGTGTTTGAGAGCAGGGTGCTGAGGAGAATATTTGGACCGAAGAGAGATGAAGTGACAGGAGGTTGGAGAAGACTGCATAGTGAGGAGCTTCATAACTTGTACTCTTCTCCAAGTATAATTAGAATGATCAAGTCAAGGAGGATGAGATAGGCAGGGCGTATAGTACGAATTAGCGAGCAGGGGAATGGATATAGGATTTTGATGGGAAAGCTAGAAGGAAAGAGCCCACTAGGAAGACCAAGACGTAAGCGGGTTGACAATCTTGAAATTGATCTTAGAAATAGGATGGGATGGTATGGACTGGATTGATCTATCTTAGGATAGGGACCGATGGAGGGCTCTTGTGAACACGGTCCTGAACTTCCGGGTTCCTTAAAATTCTGGGAAGTTCTTGAGTAGGTTCACAATTGGCGGTTTCTCAAGAAGGGTGCAGCTCCATGGAGTTATCGTTATGACTGTATAACTTCACTAAGATCCTTAACAGTTGCAAAGCAAGTTGCTTTTACTCTTGAGCTTCTGAAGTTGGCCCCGAAGAACCGAAACATGTAAAACCATATGAATAATTGGATTATTTGTATGAAGCTATGTTATACCGGCTGGCTTGTCAATTTAAGGAATGTTCTGTTTCTTGGCGCGTTTGCTAACAGTTGCTGCCTTGTTTATTTGGATTACCATAGCAATCGTGTTAATCCGATTGATCGATGGAAGTTTCGATACTCTTTACAGGATTTCTAGGTCCTCATGTTAGAAACTAGTATAAACCCGATTGAAATTTTAATAGGAAATTCTTAACAACAGACTTCATCAATAATACCTGGTCTCAGTAACTTAAAAAGTTCTGGAAAAAGAGCTACATATGTACCAAAATAATGAACTTGATATGATAAAAATATTCTGATGAAATATATTCGGCACTACTTGCCTGTAAAAGGAAACAAAGTCCGTCAGAAGTACCTGTTTTGTTCAATTGGAAACGGACCATCGTAATGACCTGTAATAAAATCTATCCCTTTAACAGGCCGTGAAGGCCCATAGGGTTATGAGACGTCGAGGCTCCCACACTTTTGTAGACAATCGGCTAACAGATGGCGGTAAGGTTGTCAGCCTTACGTGCCTGCCTCCCTTTACCCTCCAGAAAGATTGCTGATACTCATTTATGTTAGAAACTGAGTCGAATCCATGGCCATAGTGCGACTGGAAGGATTAGGTCAATTGAAAAAACATCCACCTCATCGGGTCTCGAACCCGCGACCTTCAGGCTTGTAACATAGTGCCTCAACCAAGTACGCTACCGCGTGCCCCATGACCTACAGTTCGTCACTAAACAACATTCATGCATTTATTTCAGTAATAAATTACCCTGTTATATAATAGTCGCTGTGGTGGGGTGATCTGTCTTTCATGTACAAAGTAAATACTTATGGACGCTTTATATACATTTTATTAATCGCTGTTGTTTCAACAGTACGAGCGTAAACCCCATTATATTCGCATATGCATTTTATAATGTTCCTCTGTATTGATACGTAACCGCGTGTTATTCTGAATGGTCTCCAGTGCGGCAGAACATCCGAAGTAATCAATTCACACGTCTAGCTGCAGTTTCCACAAATAACCCAATGAGCCACTTGTGTACACACTAAATCACTGTTTCACTGAATATGTGTGCTATCAACAGTGCAAATTTGTTTTAGACCTCGGAAGAGACTTCAACGCCGAGCATTGGGTACCTCTGTCACTCTCACCTGGTATGCTATCGTTGGCGAAATTAATAATAATAATAATAATAATAATAATAATATAAGCTATCCCTGTGACAAGCCTTGGGGGACCATAGGGTTGTGAGGCTCCAACATTTTCTCTAGACAGCCGCCTCACAGATGGCGGTGACGTCAGCCTTTCGCGTCGGCCGCCCTTAACCCCCCAGGAATATTCCTGGTACTCATTTGTATTAGATGCACAGTCGACCCCAGGGCCAGGGCTGGAAGTATTTTTTACCGCGACGAGTTCGTGAACTTCATTGTCAGACCACGTATATACATGTCTTCTAAGAGCTAACAAAACATCTCCCAAAGTAATTAATACTGAAGATGGCACCTATATGGTTTGCCGAAACATTGAAGAGCCATCAGCATTTGACACGGCTTAGTTACAGA